AAAAATCAAGTGTGCACAGTAGAGTAGGGTAACTCCTTTCCTTCTTTTTTTCCAATAAAATATGGGCACAAACAATTAGGTTACATTGTGTTTGTTAGGTGAAGTCCGAGTTGTATTTGAGCCCTTCACCCAGGAAGTGTACCATATACCCTTACCTTGCACCCATGTGAGAGATCACTAAGCCCCCTCTCGCTCCACCCCCATCCTGAATTTCATTGTGTTTTTTCCTGGTGTGGGTGTGCAGTTGTCCATCTACTGGTTTCATATTGGGACTGAGTATGTGGGATGCTTGCTTTTCCATTCTTGTGATACTTTACACAGGAGGATGTTCTCCAACTCCACCTAAGTAAATATAAAAGATGTGAAGTCTCCATCTTTCTTTGTGGCTGAATAGTATCCCATGGTGTACATATACCATAGTTTATTTAACCATTTATTTTATTTATCCATTCATGAGTTGACAGGCACTTGGATTGTTTGCACATCTTAGAAATTATGAGTAGAGATGCGACAAACATTCTAATGCAAATGTCCTTATGGTAAAATGGTGTTTTTTTCTTCTGGGCAGATAACTAGTAATGAGATTTCAGGATCAGAGTTTCAGTTCTTTGAGGATTCCCCTTACTTTTTTCCAAAAGGGCTGTGTTAGTTTGCTGTCCCACCAACAATGAGTAAGTGTTCCCTTCTCTCAGCAGCATCTGCAGCTTTGGGACTTCATCGGGTGGGCTGTTCTCACTGGGGTTAGGTGATATTTCTAGAGACAGAACTATGAACCCTGAGAAAAGAAGTAGCAGAAGAGGTTAACAAATGGAAGAACATACCATGCTCATGGCTGGGAAAAAATAGCGTTGTTAAAATGTCTCTGCTACCCAAAGCGATCTATATACTTAATGTAATCTCATTAAGTACTAATGGCATACTTTGAAGAACTTGAAAAAATAGTTCTTCATTTCATGGGAACCAGAAAAACCTGAATAGGGATTTTCTAGGCTCTAAGCACAATTCTAAGCTCTTCTTTCTTGAATACATCAAAGTCAATCCATCTTCCTCCTCTCCAGCCCTCCATAGGGCCTCTTTATCTAGAGCTTGCTAGCTGATCCTGCTCCCCTCTACCTCCCCTCCACAAACTGCCAAAGCATCA